GTGACTATCAACAACTATCAGGACAAACAACATACGACAGAAGTGACTATCAACAACTATCTGGACAAACAATCTACCGACAGAAGTGACTATCAACAACTATCAACACAAACAATCTACCGACAGAAGTGACTATCAACAACTATCAACATAAACAATCTACCGACAGAAGTGACTATCAACAACTATCAGGACAAACAATCTACCGACAGAAGTGACTATCAACAACTAACAGGACAAACAATCTACCGACAGAAGTGATTATCAACAACTATCAGGATAAACAACCTACGACAGAAGTGAATATCAACAACTATCAGGACAAACAATCTACCGACAGAAGTGACTATCAACAACTATCAGGACAAACAATCTACCGACAGAAGTGAATATCAACAACTATCAGATACAAACAATCTACCGACAGAAGTGACTATCAACAACTATCAACACAAACAATCTACCGACAGAAGTGACTATCAACAACTATCAACATAAACAATCTACCGACAGAAGTGACTATCAACAACTAACAGGACAAACAATCTACCGACAGAAGTGACTATTAACAACTATCTGGACAAACAATCTACCGATAGAAGTGACTATCAACAACTATCAGGACAAACAATCTACCGACAGAAGTGACTATCAACAACTATCTATACAAACAATCTACCGATAGAAGTGACTATCAACAACTATCAGGACAAACAATCTACCGACAGAAGTGACTATCAACAACTATCAGATACAAACAATCTACCGACAGAAGTGACTATCAACAACTATCAGGACAAACAACATACGACAGAAGTGACTATCAACAACTATCTGGACAAACAATCTACCGACAGAAGTGACTATCAACAACTATCAACACAAACAATCTACCGACAGAAGTGACTATCAACAACTATCAACATAAACAATCTACCGACAGAAGTGACTATCAACAACTATCAGGACAAACAATCTACCGACAGAAGTGACTATCAACAACTAACAGGACAAACAATCTACCGACAGAAGTGATTATCAACAACTATCAGGATAAACAACCTACGACAGAAGTGAATATCAACAACTATCAGGACAAACAATCTACCGACAGAAGTGACTATCAACAACTATCAGGACAAACAATCTACCGACAGAAGTGAATATCAACAACTATCAGATACAAACAATCTACCGACAGAAGTGACTATCAACAACTATCAACACAAACAATCTACCGACAGAAGTGACTATCAACAACTATCAACATAAACAATCTACCGACAGAAGTGACTATCAACAACTAACAGGACAAACAATCTACCGACAGAAGTGACTATTAACAACTATCTGGACAAACAATCTACCGATAGAAGTGACTATCAACAACTATCAGGACAAACAATCTACCGACAGAAGTGACTATCAACAACTATCAGGACAAACAATCTACCGACAGAAGTGATAATCAACAACTATCAGGATAAACAACCTACGACAGAAGTGAATATCAACAACTATCAGGACAAACAATCTACCGACAGAAGTGACTATCAACAACTATCAGGACAAACAATCTGCCGACAGAAGTGAATATCAGCAACTATCAGATACAAACAATCTACCGACAGAAGTGATTATCAACAACTATCAGGACAAACAATCTACCAACAATTGTTTTGTTTTAATCGGGAGGTTGACATATTGTTAGTTTTCGTCATTGCCCTTGTTTATTGTCCATTGTTTAGACACATGTCTATTGTTTAAGACTATATGATGATGACCTATAGATGGTTTTTATGTGTGTCGTATGGTTGCTGTCTCATTGTTGTATACACAACTCTTCGTTTAATCATACCTTTAATACGCTTAGACACTAGAATATTGACACAATCCACCATCTCATGATGCCAATCAAAGACCTATCGGTGTGATGACTTCCACATATAAACTCTGATAGAGCAGTGTATGTGTTCATCTTTGTTTACCATGCTTTGGTATGTGGTTTAAACTGAAAACGTTAAGGTTGGGGCTATTAGTATGTATTAAATCAAGAATGCAAAACTGACAAAACCAAATATGAAATTCTGTTATCCATATCTTTTTAGTTATCCGTCCTCAGGTCGTCAATTTATAGAAAGCGATCTATAATATACGAAGAGATACACCTTTTTCTATGCAACATGCTCAATTTCAAGCACTTGAAGATGAACTTGCATGACATACGATATTTAAAAGAGAGGCGAAAGATACCAAAGGGACATTCAAACTCATATGTCGAAAATAAACTGACAACGCCACGGCAAAAAAAAAGAAAAAGATCAAAAGACAAACACCATTATACAAAACACAACATAGAAAACTAAATACTTAGCAACACAAACAACACCAAAACTGATTAAGCAGATCCTGCTCCACATGTGGTACCCATCGTCTTGCTCATATAATTGCAAACCTGGTGATAAGTCTAATTGGGAAGGTCACATTCGGGGAAAAAGAGGTCGGGTTTATGGTTACGACGATTGGAACATATCCGTTGTCATCTGTGAAAAAAAGGTATTCCATAACGGTCAACCAACTCGTGATTGCGTCTGTAAAATGTTCGAAGGGATGATTTCATCTTTACAACTTAAAACTCTTGGTTTTATAGCTTCCTTGTGAGCAGAAATCCTCTATCAAGGAAATAACGATAGGAAACGAAAGACCTGGAATATCGTATCAGCTGGGGATGTATACTACATATGCAAGCGCTGCTGGAATGTTGCTACATAGGAAAGGAAAGTTCACAATTGGGAAGCTGAAATCATCTCTTTTGGCGTAAAGCTTTGTTCTTAACAGACCCTCGTTGTAAATTTCTAGATGCAAGTCAAGATATGAGAAATACTTAAAATGTTGTATCATTTATTTCAGGTTCTATGGGATAAATGCGTTCACCAGAGTCACCAAACTTCGAATTATTTAGTGAGAGGACACCATCTTTATAGCGGAAAGTGAAGTTAAAGGACAATGCTAGTTTCTTTTCATTCTCCCTATGACGTGATGATGAAGTCAGCCTCATATGAATAAAGGGACAAGAAGAGGAGCACAGTTGGTTCCCATGGGAATGCCGATTCTTTGTTGAAATAACACTTCCTCCAAACGTTGCAAATATGTTGTCAACCAAGAAATCACGTGATAATGTCAATTTCAGTGAATTTCTACAAAGTACGATTTATCCGTCCCTTAGACAAGATACTTGTAACTACGTTGTCCATTCTTTATTTATGAAACAAAGCAGGACCAACTCTTTCAATTTGTCTTTTAGTTTGGAAAGGGGAATACTTGTGCAAAATTGTAGAAAAGTCAAATGTTTAGTAATGTAATGTAATGTGATTTTACACACAAAAAGATATTGTTTGGGTATTTATATGGGGGGATAATAACATATTTGTCGTGGAGGTAGGACAGGTGCTTTGCAACATTTGGGTATTTGAAGATTGATGTAGCATGTGTATTCATAGACCCATTCAGTTTTATTATATTTAATTCTGATTTGTATCAACGACCACACAGCTATAATCCATTCGGAAAGAGTATCTACGTCTACTTTCTCGCGTTTAACCCATTGCCTGGCATAATCATCGACTGAATCCATCAGTATTTTGAAGTTGTGTAAGTAATCATAGAGCATTAATCTAAATTCTACGTTACAAAGTCTAGATATGCTCATACATTTGTTGAAGAATGACAAAACGACTTTGTTAAAAGGATTCCTCATTTCGAGTTGATCGTTTGACAACCCGTGGATATGCATATACATGTATGGATGAAGTCTGATAATCAAGGGAAAAAGACTAATTCGTTATAAATTAAAAATGAGTTTCTATAATAGAGTTTTTCCTTTTTATTTTCCCTCTTGTATTCCGACAAAATAATAATCATTCTCGCATATTTTGCTTATCATTTTTGTAAAAGGTTGTAATTTGATTATAATAGAGATAAAACTTGATAAAATTTTAGTATAGCATAAATTTTAAATGGTATGACTTGTTTGTCCTTCGTCTGTTTTTTTTTTGCCATGGCGTTGTCATTTTCTCTTCGACATATGAGTTATGTCCCCTTCATATCTTCTGTCTATTTTTTGTGCACACATTGAGCACCTATAATTATTCTTATTTTTGACCCAAAAAAAAGATTAATTTTTGTTTCTATACCTTTAAATCATATCGCAGGTACTTTTAAATATTATCTTTACGCTAATTTTGTCGGTCAACATATTTAAATGAACAAAATAAAAATAGTTGCTATGTATGGGATTTATGCACATTTAGCAATTTTAAATAATTATTTTGTTTATGTAAAGTTCAGCGTGGGAAGCAAATCCGGTACTTTTGGAGGAACGGTGGTTGTAATTCAATCAAGTCAGTATTATGTAATCTTTGTTGTACATAATAATAAAATAATGCCACGTTTTACTTTTCAGGTGATTTTGTCAAGTCATAAGGTTTACAATTCCTGTGATTGTAAACAACTTTATCAGTATTTTGTTAACCAATTGTGTTGTGGTCTGTGGTCTACACCTACACCCTTTACCAACCATTTTTATTTTTTATTTTACTGTCTCATTTCATACTTTTATCTAAAAGATTATCCTATTTCTTTAAAGAAAGAAATGAAGCAGAGAACTCATTTGTAATTTAGCATTCCTATCATTTATTTTTGTCAACAACAAAAAACAAAACATTACGATTACAAAAACTTGGTTTGTCATTGTTCTGCATGTAGTACATGTACTTGTCATCGTCCTGGCTGTAACAGTTGTTACTAGATATGACCTGGGAGAATGGTATGACACCGGGGTTGTCACTGTCCTGGCCGTAACAGTTGTTACTAGATATGACCTGGGAGAATGGTATGACACCGGGTTGTCACTGTCCTAGCCGTAACACTTTTTACTAGATATGACCTGGGGGAATGGTAGGCCACTGGTGTTGTCACTGTCCTGGCTGTAACATTTGTTACTAGATATATGACGTGGGAGAATAGTATGACACTGGTGTTGTCACTGTCCTGGCTGTAACACTTGTTACTAGATATGACCTGGGGGAATGGTATGACATTGGTGTTGTCACTGTCCTGGCTGTAACACTTGCTACTAAATATGACCTGGGGGAATGGTATGACACTGGTGTTGTCACTGTCCTGGCCGTAACACTTGTTACTAGATATGACCTGGGGGAATGGTATGGCACTGGTGTTGTCACTGTCCTGGCCGTAACACTTGCTACTAGATATGACCTGGGGGAATGGTATGACACTGGTGTTGTCATTGTCCTGGCCGTAACACTTGCTACTAGATATGACCTGGGGGAATGGTATGACACTGGTGTTGTCACTGTCCTGGCCGTAACACTTGCTACTAGATATGACCTGGGAGAATGGTATGACACTGGAGTTGTCACTGACCTGGCCGTAACACTTGCTACTAGATATGAACTGGGAGAATGGTATGACACTGGTGATGGCACTGTCCTGGCCGTAACACTTGCTACTAGATATGAACTGGGAGAATGGTATGACACTGGTGATGGCACTGTCCTGGCTGTAACACTTGCTACTAGATATGACCTGGGAGAATGGTATGACACTGGTGTTGTCATTGTCCTGGCCGTAACACTTGCTACTAGATATGACCTGGGGGAATGGTATGACACTGGTGTTGTCACTGTCCTGGCCGTAACACTTGCTACTAGATATGACCTGGGAGAATGGTATGACACTGGAGTTGTCACTGACCTGGCCGTAACACTTGTTACTAGATATGAACTGGGAGAATGGTATGACACTGGTGATGGCACTGTCCTGGCCGTAACACTTGCTACTAGATATGAACTGGGAGAATGGTATGACACTGGTGATGGCACTGTCCTGGCTGTAACACTTGCTACTAGATATGACCTAAGAGAATGGTATGACACTGGTGTTGTCACTGTCCTGGCCGTAACACTTATTACTAGATATGACCTAGGGGAATGGTATGACACTGGTGTTGTCACTGTCCTGGCCGTAACACTTGCTACTAGATATGACCTGGGGGAATGGTATGACACTGGTGTTGTCACTGTCCTGGCCGTAACACTTGCTACTAGATATGACCTTGGGGAATGGTATGACACTGGTGTTGTCATTGTACTGGCCGTAACACTTGCTACTAGATATGACTTAGGAGAATGGTATGACACTGGTGTTGTCACTGTCCTGGCCGTAACACTTGCTACTAGATATGACCTGGGGGAATGGTATGACACTGGTGTTGTCACTGTCCTGGCCGTAACACTTGCTACTAGATATGACCTGGGGGAATGGTATGACACTGGTGTAGTCACTGTCCTGGCCGTAACACTTGCTACTAGATATGAACTGGGAGAATGGTATGACACTGGTGATGGCACTGTCCTGGCCGTAACACTTGCTACTAGATATGACCTGGGAGAATGGTATGACACTGGTGTTGTCACTGTCCTGGCCGTAACATTGCTACTAGATATGACCTGGGGGAATGGTATGACACTGGTGTTGTCATTGTCCTGGCCGTAACACTTGCTACTAGATATGACCTGGGGGAATGGTATGACATTGGTGTTGTCACTGTCCTGGCCGTAACACTTGCTACTAGATATGACCTGGGAGAATGGTATGACACTGGAGTTGTCACTGACCTGGCCGTAACACTTGCTACTAGATATGAACAGGGAGAATGGTATGACACTGGTGATGGCACTGTCCTGGCCGTAACACTTGCTACTAGATATGAACTGGGAGAATGGTATGACACTGGTGATGGCACTGTCCTGGCTGTAACACTTGCTACTAGATATGACCTGGGAGAATGGTATGACACTGGTGTTGTCACTGTCCTGGCCGTAACACTTGTTACTAGATATGACCTAGGGGAATGGTATGACACTGGTGTTGTCACTGTCCTGGCCGTAACACTTGCTACTAGATATGACTTGGGAGAATGGTATGACACTGGTGTTGTCACTGTCCTGGCCGTAACACTTGCTACTAGATATGACCTGGGGGAATGGTATGACACTGGTGTTGTGACTGTCCTGGCAGTAACACTTGCTACTAGATATGACCTGGGGGAATGGTATGACACTGGTGTTGTCATTGTACTGGCCGTAACACTTGCTACTAGATATGACTTAGGAGAATGGTATGACACTGGTGTTGTCACTGTCCTGGCCGTAATACTTGCTACTAGATATGACCTGGGGGAATGGTATGACACTGGTGTTGTCACTGTCCTGGCCGTAACACTTGCTACTAGATATGACCTGGGGGAATGGTATGACACTGGTGTAGTCACTGTCCTGGCCGTACCACTTGTTACTAGATATGATGGGGGAATGGTATGACACTGGTGTTGTCACTGTCCTGGCCGTAACACTTGCTATTAGATATGACCTGGGGGAATGGTATGACACTGGTGTTGTCACTGTCTTCGCCGTAACAGTTGTTACGTATTAGATATAACCTGGGAGAATGATATGACACTGGTGTTGTCACTGTGTTGGCTGTAATACTTGTTACAAGATATATGACCTGTGAGAATGGTATGACACAGGTAATGTCATTGTCTTGGCCGTAACAGTTGTGACTAGATATGACCTGGGAGAATAGTATGACACTGGTTTTGTCACTGTCCTGGCTGTAACATTTTTTACTAGATATATGACGTGGGAGAATGGTATGACACTGGTGATGGCACTGTCCTGGCCGTAACACTTGCTACTAGATATGAACTGGGAGAATGGTATGACACTGGTGATGGCACTGTCCTGGCCGTAACACTTGCTACTAGATATGACCTGGGAGAATGGTATGACACTGGTGTTGTCACTGTCCTGGCCGTAACACTTATTACTAGATATGACTTTGGGAAATGGTATGACACTGGTGTTGTCACTGTCCTGGCCGTAACACTTGCTACTAGATATGACCTGGGGGAATGGTATGACACTGGTGTTGTCATTGTCCTGGCCGTAACACTTGCGACTAGATATGACTTGGGAGAATGGTATGACACTGGTGTTGTCACTGTCCTGGCCGTAACACTTGCTACTAGATATGACCTGGGGGAATGGTATGACACTGGTGTTGTCACTGTCCTGGCCGTAACACTTGCTACTAGATATGACCTGGGGGAATGGTATGACACTGGTGTTGTCACTGTCCTGGCCGTAACACTTGTTACTAGATATGACCTGGGGGAATAGTATGACACTGGTGTTGTCACTGTCCTGGCCGTAACACTTGTTACTAGATATGACCTGGGGGAATGGTATGACACTGGTGTTGTCATTGTCCTGGCTGTAACACTTGCTATTAGATATAACCTGGGGGAGTAGTATGACACTGGTGTTGTCACTGTCTTCGCCGTAACAGTTGTTACGTATTAGATATAACCTGGGAGAATGATATGACACTGGTGTTGTCACTGTCCTGGCCGTAACATTGCTACTAGATATGACCTGGGAGAATGGTATGACACTGGTGTTGTCATTGTCCTGGCCGTAACACTTGCTACTAGATATGACCTGGGGGAATGGTATGACACTGGTGTTGTGACTGTCCTGGCCGTAACACTTGCTACTAGATATGACCTGGGGGAATGGTATGACACTGGAGTTGTCACTGTCCTGGCCGTAACACTTGCTACTAGATATGACCTGGGGGAATGGTATGACACTGGTGTTGTCATTGTACTGGCCGTAACACTTGCTACTATATATGACTTGGGAGAATGGTATGACACTGGTGTTGTCACTGTCCTGGCCGTAACACTTGCTACTAGATATGACCTGGGGGAATGGTATGACACTGGTGTTGTCACTGTCCTGGCCGTAACACTTGCTACTAGATATGACCTTGGGGAATGGTATGACACTGGTGTTGTCACTGTCCTGGCCGTAACACTTGTTACTAGATATGACCTGGGGGAATGGTATGACACTGGTGTTGTCATTGTCCTGGCTGTAACACTTGCTATAAGATATAACCTGGGGGAATGGTATGACACTGGTGTTGTCACCGTCTTCGCCGTAACAGTTGTTACGTATTAGATATAACCTGGGAGAATGATATGACACTGGTGTTGTCACTGTCCTGGCTGTAATACTTGTTATTAGATATATGACCTGTGAGAATGGTATGACACAGGTAATGTCAATGTCCTGGCCGTAACAGTTGTAACTGGATATGACCTGGGAGAATGGTATGACACTGGTTTTGTCACTGTCCTGGCTGTAACATTTGTTACTAGATATATGACGTGGGAGAATGGTATGACACTGGTGTTGTCACTGTCCTTGCCGTAACAGTTGTTACTAGATATGACCTTGGAGTATAGTATGACACTGGTTTTGTTATTGTCCTGGTTGTAACACTTGTTACTAGATATATGACCCTTAGTATGGTATAGTGCTGGTTATGTCATTGTTCTGGCCGTAACACTTGTTACTAGATATATGACTTATGAGTATGGTATAGTGCTTGTTATGTCATTGTCCTGGCCGTAACACTTGTTACTAGATATATGACCTGTGAGTATGGTATAGTGCTGGTTATGTCATTGTCCTGGCTGTAACACTTGTTCCTAGATATATTATATGACATGCATGTGATTATGGTATGACACTGGTTTTGTCATTGTCCTGGCTGTAACACTTGTTCCTAGATATGACGGGGGAGTATAGTATGACACTGGTTTTGTCATTGTCCTGGCTGTTACACTTGTTCCTTTATATATTATATGACATGCATGTGAGTATGTTATGACACTGGTTTGTCATTGTCATGGGTGAAACACTTGTTACTAGATATGACCGGGGAGTATGGTATGACACTGGTTTTGTCATTGTCCTGGCTGTAACACTTGTTACTAGATATATGACCTGTGAAAATGGTATGACACTGGTTTTGCTATTGTCCATGGTGTAACACTTTATACTAGATATATGACCTGTGAGTATGCTATGACACTGGTTTTGCCAGTGTACTTGCTGTAACACTTATTACTGGATATGAACTTAGAGGATGGTATGACACTGGTTTTGGCATTGTACTTGCTGTGACTCTGCTAAAAGGAAATGGCATTAGAAGATGGTATGACACTGGTTTTGACATTGTCCTGGGTGTAACACTTGTTACTAGATATATGACCTGTGAGTATGGTATGACACTGGTTTTGCCATTTTCCTTGCCATTGCATAGATGATTGTTGATTGCCCCATTGATATCGTATCTCCCTATTTGCAACTATATATTACTTTTAGTAGGGTATGACAATGGTTTTGTCATTGTCCTTGCTTTAACACTTGTTATTGGATCTGACCTTGAAGAATGATATGAGGCTGGTTTTGTCAATGTCCTCGCTGTGACACTGGTAACTAGATATGAACTTAGAGGACGATATGATACTGGTTTTGGCATTGTACTTGCTGTGACACTTGTTACTGGATATGACATTAAATGATGGTATACTGGACATGAAATAAGAGGATGGTATGAAACTGGTTTTTGCATTGTACTTACTGTGACACTGGTAACTGGATATTACACTAGAGGATGGTATGACTCTGGTTTTGGAATTGTACTTGCTGTGACACTTGTTACTGGATATGAACTTAGAGGATGGCATGACACTAGTTTTGACATTGCACTTTCTGTAACACTTGTTAAAGGATATGACATTAGAGGATGGTATGACACTGGTTTTAGCAATGTACTTGCTGTGATACTGGTAACTAGATATGACATTAGAGGATGGTATGACACCGGTTTTGGCATTGTACTTACTGTGCCACTTGTGACTGGATATGAACTTAGAGGATGATATAACACTGGTTTTGGCATTGTACTTGCTGTGAAACTGCTAACTGGATATGACATTAGAGGATGGTATGACACTGGGTTTGGCATTGTAATTGCTGTGACACTTGTTACTGGATATGACATTAGATGCTGGTATGACACTGGTTTTTGCATTGTACTTGCTGTGACACTTGTTACTGGATATGACATTAGAGGATGGTATGAAACTGGTTTTGACATTGTCCTCGTTATGACACTTACTTCTGAATATAACCTTGGAGTATGGTTTGTTGAGTGATACTTACCAGGCAGTGGATGTTTTCCCAGTAGATTGTCCTGCATACAGTGTATGCGATCTGGATAATTTCAAATCTTGTTTTTAATCAGATATTTGTAGAGACATCGGTGTTGTACCTGCAATTTCATTAATGACAACAAGAAAAGTACAATAAATATTGCACAGGTAAATAACAAACAAAAATTTATACATTTCTTTAAGTTAAATCTACGGAGTGGGTTGCGTTACACGAAAAAATTTGCATGAAAGGGTAAATCTAAACTACGAATCAAAACGTCCGCATAATTTGCATATTACTGATTTATAAGATTTAAAAAACACAGCATTGTAAGTTATTTTACTTTGTCAAGCCTGGTGGAGAGGAAAGGTTCAAGGGAAATTGTAAGTACAGATGATAATTTAAGGTTTGTAAAGAAAATGATTAGTAGCAATCGGAAATATTTATCGTTCTAAGATGAAATAACCCCAAAAATATGAACTAAAGGGTGATTGGATAGACCGTACAGTTCATTATTTATTTCAATCCAAGAATATGAACGTGCATTTGCATATAGAGTAATATTTATCTTGATACTTGAGCTATAAAAAATCACGGGGATGCGTTACTTGCTGATATTTATTATTAGATTCACAGAGGATGCTTTTTTATGATGCATTGCTAGATTCACAGAAGGATTTGATTTACGAATACGAATACGAAAACGAATACTTTGTTAACTCCAATTAAAGGACCCGTTTCCGAGCATATAAATATAGAATTAATCATACAGTATTTTTTTTTAGAAATATTTCATTGAAAAAAAATGAATAAGTAACTATCCTCCATACAAGATGGTGTTTAAAAATATAATACTAGACTATTAATCCTTTGTAATACATAAAACATAAACTACATCACTACGACATATACATTTAGTCAATGGAATGCAAATTTTCTCCTATATCAAAACAGGTTCTAATAAATCTTGACACTGATATATTAACATTTTCAGACTCACTGGACATCAACCAAATAAACTGTTCGTACTTTAAATATAAAGGAAGTTTTTACATTGAATACATGCTTCCTCAAGAATAAAATTCCTATGAGTATTGGGAAAAGGATACGGGATAGATTTTTTTTTATAAAAACGAAAAAAACGCTATAGTAAGCATACACATTAAAGCGCTTTCTATAAAAGAATGTACAATGGTTATCGTGTGCATAGCTGCAATTTTCATTTATTTCAGCACCTAATAAATCTAACGGTTAATGTTTGCACTGTTATGATCATTATGTTGCTAATATTTCCCCATTTTCTTTTTAATTTACTAGCCTTCTTGTGGAAGATTGTTGATGTTGTTTTTCATATCCTACTTGTACATGAAGGCCACCTCAAAATCATAACTTAGTTCAAGAAACACCAAAATTTTTGAACAATAAACAATATTGTATGTATAGTTCTGGATGTTCCTTACCTTTAATTAACTAAAAATGTAAATTTTGACTTGGATGGAGAGTTGTCTCATTCGCACTCATACCACATCTTCTTATATCTATATAAAATATTGTGGGAATGCCTTGAATTAGCAAATTGTTTTTAGTGTCGACCTCAAAATCCAAGAGGATATTCATTTACATGGAAGAAACAGCATGCGCACCTGTACAGAAAAAATTATATTAGAATCGCTTTCATAAAATGGTTTCTAAAATTGAAAAGAAACGGCCGTTTGTAGTCTGAACTACAAAGAATAGTCGTTAGTGGCTGTCTGCTATGTTTCATTGGGATGTTTCATACCACATCTTATTTATTTACTTAGCATGATAATGTAAGCCTGAAATCCAAGGTACTCAGAAACGGGGTACGTAGTTTCATTTGTTAAACTAAACGAGATATAATATATAAACAGAGCTATATTTTATTTCAGCATATTTGTTTAATTTGAATTTGTGCTAAGTACCAATATGATCCTTTCCAACTGATGTTTTGTTTGTTCTTTTGTTGTTATTTTACTGGCGTATGTTAGGGGAGGGTTGAAAAGCTCATCACCATGTATAACACTGCCAAATTTTGTACATGCCTGTCAATTGCCAGTATTTTTTTCATTCAGTAGTTCCCCTATCATTTGGGATGGTTGTGTCCTTATCTAATTTCTTTACCTGTGTTATGGAAGAACTTCATGACAAAGGTATAAACACATTATTGCAATTGATGTAGTGTTTTGCGTCTATTATTCCAAATGCGTGCTATTGTGGTTTTAACATTCAAAAGAGTAAAGCAAAGACCTGCTTTAAATTGTAATGCATCAACTGGCAATCATACCAAATCTCCTTATTTTATATTTATCAAATAATGGACACATTTAACTAAACAAAATGCAAAATATAACGTTATATTAGCTAAACGTTCAAAGGTGTCAGCTGAATAAGATGACAATGTTCAGCTTAATTCAACATTTGTTGAGATATTTGAATCATGGTTATATTTCTAATAATGCTTATTACACAAAAGCCTAGTTTTATTATTAATCAATTAAAAAAAAGGGTTAAACAGAAAATTTTCTCTGTTTTGGTGTAACTCTATTTTCGTTGATAAAGGGAAAATCTTTCAACTGCGCAGCTATCGTTCGTTTAAATCAAAATATGTTTAGATTTGAAAAACAACGAGCTGCTCTTGAAGGGTAGACAAATCCGTCGCTGCATATCACTATACCGGACCCATCATACTTCTGACAAAGGATTTTCTCTGTTACTGGTCATATATATATTTTTTTTACTTTAATTTTTGACTACTCCTTTGTGTCATCAAAAGTTCCAGTGAAAATAGATAGAAGTCAATAAAGTACATTAATCATTTGAATAAATATAAAGGTCCATTATTTTCATTATATATTTTTTATAATTAATGTACTATGAGGAAACAATGCAGGCTTCGGTTGTAGCTATCTTTTCAACTTGATCGATCGGAAACTGCTGAATATAAAGTTGGCTTTAGTTAGTGATAACATTGTTCTGCTGAGTGTACCGGGATGTCAACAGGATACTCTCTAACTTATGATAAGTGTGCGGTAGCATTAAATTAGTATAAATGAGAAATGCATCCTACTAGTGTTTTATAATTTTGCAAGTTTGCGACTTCAGTGACATAAGAAGGTTAGTGGCTTAACATGTACATATTTTAAAGGTTGAAATGAAACAATATTATTTTAGATATTTTCAATTTTAAACATTCACAAAAAGTACATAGAGTTATCTCCTGTAGTTCAGAGACGCTCTTTAACAATTGGACTACGTTATTTTGGACTACGTCATTTTGGACTATGTCTTTTTGCTCTCCTTCCAGCGCGAAAAAATCGCGAACGATTCCAATGCTGTGCTATTATACAGATATATATACTTTCCGTTATTCAATACGTAATACTTCGTCTTCAGGTCAACGATTGAGTCAAAAAATAATAATTTACCCCTCTTCAATTTTTAATTAGATTTTAGTTGATGATTTTAAAATCGTGCATATCAATTAAAATGAGAATTTAAATCATGTAAGAAATATAAGTGAATATGTAGTTTAAAGTGTACACATTCATATATTAGATTTTAGTTGACGAAGTCGTAAAGTCTACATATATTAGATTTTAGTTGACGAAGTCGTAAAGTCTGCATATATTAGATTTTAGTTGACGAAGTCGTAAAGTCTGCATATATTAGATTTTAGTTGACGAAGTTGTAAAGTCTGCATATGAAAAGGAACGGAATTTTATTCTTAATGAAGCATGCATTCAATGTAAAAACTTCCCTTAAAGTATGAACAATTTATTTGGTTAATGTCATGTGAGTCTGAAAATGTTAATATGTCAGTGTCAAGATTTATAAGTACTTGTTTTGAAATGAGAGAAAATTTGCATTCCAGTAACTAACTAAATATACATGTAGTAGTGATGTAGTTTATTTTTTATGTCTTAGAGAGGGTTAATATTCTATTTTATTTATTTTCAAACACCATCTGGTATGGAGTACAGTTATTTAATCATTTATTTTTAATGTAATATATCTTAAAAATTACTGTATAATTAATACTATATATATATATGCTCGGAAACGGGCCCTTTAATTGGATTCAAAAAATATTCTTATTCTTATTCATATAATTGTCTTGTTTTATTATCAAAATCTACTTAAGTTTGTTCGCTGTTCTGTTTCAAAATAACAATCTTTTTAAAAGACAATTATTAATTGATAGTATATAAATTACAGAACACAAAAAGCAAAAAAAAAATGAACGGTCCGTATCCTTGTTTTGAGACATACGCCATTGAAAATTTGGCGGGAAATGAATCCCTCCAGATTTTTCATACATCTAACATTGGTACCTTTTTTCTTTCAAAACCTATGAAAAAAATAACAAGGATTTTATAAGATTTTGAGAAATAGCTATTTAAACTATATGTATTAAAATCATGAAAAGAAACTACGATGGTAAAGAAAAGTGAGAGCTCTTAGGTTAGAAATCTAAATTATGTACATCATCTATATATATATATATATATATATATATAGCTGTGTGTTTATTCCATATATAATGATATTTCGAATTATACAGACAATGTTATGAAAGGCACTTTGTATTAAAATTGAAATATAAATTCTTAATAATTTTCCTGGAATGTATCAATTGCATATGTTTTAGTGAAATAATAATAAGTAACGAAATGTTCTTGCTATGTAATGGATAGAACGCAAGATGTCCTTTTTCTGAAGCACACAATCGCCAGTGTACTGAAAGTGAACTAAAACTTAACATTTTACATTGCAATCAATTCGGGCATTTAAGAGTTGTTCAATTCAATTTAACTTTTTCATCAGTAAAATTTTATCTGTAAGGTCTCCGTTCTAAGTGATCACATTGTGCCTTCTGCATAGGGAATAATGTGGTGTCAAATTGTGTCATTTTAATTGTCTTTCTTTCATATTTTTTGTCGCAGTGTCTATACGATTCTTTATGTACTTTGAAATACAAGACATGTATCCTATGTTTGATATTAGTTGTTTTATTATTTCACGAATGGTTACATTGTAACTGCTCTGTCCATATGTGGGCACCTTAATTAGTAGTAAAACATTTGTATTGTTTGTATTATATGGGTTTTTTGTTTGTTTCACATTTTATTGACCCGGACATTTTAAAGCTTACTATGCGGTATGGGTTTGCTCATTGTTGAAAGCAGTATGGTTCCTGTAATTGTCTACATCTTTGTCATTTGGTCTTCAATGGAAAGTTGTCTCATTGGCATCACACCGAATCTTGTTATGTATATTTATAAGAAAAATTTGAAAGTCCAGAAGTATGAATGAAAAGGATAAAATTATCTGGATTCGAAATCCTAGATGGTCGCAAACTGTTTTGTAGGTTGATAAGAGTAAATTTGTTGATTATAAGGAACGATGCAGGACACCATAATAAAAGTTGTACAGTGTAAATTGTATATAATATTGTTATTCACATACACTTGCATGTACATATAAAATGCATGCATTCAATTAAACTTTTATATAATAAGATGAAATCATAGAAGTGTCCAAACTTTATCAGTCCATCTGAACAGGAACTTTTGTATTTTAACAAAATTTCTGTTTTTGGAACACGGACCAATATCTAAAAAATCAAATAATTTCATTTATCATTATAGGTATAAATAATCAATCTTGAAAGAATGGCGAAAGTCACGTCCCTTGTTCTACTGTTCCTATCTATTGGGTCCTGTCATTGTGATTGGTGGACAGACTATCTTAAAAACCTCGTTGACAAAGGGAGAGAACCGACGTGGGCGCCAGACTATCTTGATAAACAGCTAAAAAAAGATACACAGAACGCCGCACTTATCAAAGCAATCCAAGATGCATTGAATGAGGTTTATGAGGCGATAGAGGACAATGCACCAACAGGTGGTACCAGTTCAGGGGGAGATATTAAGGATCAGATTGATAACATCAAATATCAACTCCAAGTCTTAGATGAATTCAAGAAACAACAAGAGAGAAAAAATGATAACATTGATCACAGATTTAAACAGATGCAAACTGCTCTCAGTGAGTTATATGAGAAAGTCGAAGGCGGACAAGGTATGATTTCTCACAAGGCATACACAGTGGTAACATACATATGGCTTTTTCATCGTTCAATTTTTGTAGATGCCTTAAACTTGTATCTGATAATCGTCAAGGCGATATACTAGTATTTAAAGACACCAAACAGATGATTTGAATAATGAACAAAATTTTAAAAATAGAGGCGAAAGGTACAAAAAGGACATTCAAACTCGTAAATGGAAAATAAACTGACAACGTCATGGCAAAAAAAGAAAAAAAGAAAAAAAGAAATAAAGGAATACATTAAATAGCTGTTAAATTGAATATGTATTGGTGGAAGCATGTATTTCTATTATTATTTTGATAAGAAAAATCCAATAAAATTTGGAGAAAAAGTTTCATAAAAGATTCTTGCTGTCTGCTTTTGTAACTATATAAATAAACACGGTTCCCGGATAAAGGGTCACATATAATGATACAATGTATTTATCTCCGTTTATTTTATTCTAACGTGTTCTTTTCTATTTTCACACAATCTTGAATTAGTTACAAGCATATTGAAACATATAATATCAGTTAAACTTGTTAGATGTGCTATTTATTATGAATGGTGTTTATTTTTAGGTAAAACCGGATCGGGAAATACATACACCAGATGGGGTAAAACATCATGTCCATCAACTGCAGCTCTTGTGTATGAAGGTTGGTATATTTATGTTTATTGCTGTTATTGTGAAATAACGCCCGACATGAGTCTTTTTTCATCTAACATAACCGCTTGATTCTTATTCCCAACTTTGTTCATCTAACATTACCGCTTGATTCTTATTCCCAACTTCGTTCATCTAACATTACCGCTTGATTCTTATTCCTAACTTCGTTCATCTAACATTACCGCTTAATTCTTATTCCTAACTTTGTTCATCTAACATTACCACTTGATTCTTATTCCTAACTTCGTTCATCCAATATTACCGCTCGATTCTTATTCCTTACTTCGTTCATCCAACATTATCGCTTGATTCTTATTCCTAACTTCGTTCATCCAACATTACCGCTTGGTTCTTATTCCTAACGTCGTTCATCTAAAATTATCGCTTGATTCTTATTCCTAACTTTGTTCATCCAATATTACCGCTCGATTCTTATTCCTAACTTCGTTCATCTATCATTATCGCTTGATTCTTATTCCTAACTTTGTTCATCTAACATTACCGCTCGATTCTTATTCCTAACTTCGTTCATCTAACATTACCGCTTGATTCTTATTCCTAACTTCGTTCATCTAACATTTCCGCTTGATTCTTATTCCTAACTTCGTTCATCTAACATTACCGCTTGATTCTTATTCCTAACTTTGTTCATCTAACATTACCGCTCGATTCTTATTTCTAACTTCGTTCATCCAACATTTCCGCTCGATTCTTATACCTAACTTTGTTCATCTAACATTACCGCTCGATTCTTATTCCTAACTTCGTTCATCCAACATTACCGCTCGATTCTTGTTTCTAACTTCGTTCATCTAACATTACCGCTTGATTTTTATTCCTAACTTCGTTCATCTATCATTATCGCTTGATTCTTATTCCTAACTTTGTTCATCTAACATTACCGCTCGATTCTTATTCCTAACTTCGTTCATCTACCATTATCGCTTGATTCTTATTCCTAACTTTGTTCATCTAACATTACCGCTTGATTCTTATTCCTCACTTCGTTCATCTAACATTACCACTTGATTCTTATTCCTAACTTCGTTCATCTAACATTACCGCTTGATTCTTATTCCTAACTTTGTTCATCTAACATTACCGCTCGATTCTTATTCCTAACTTCGTTCATCCAATATTACCGCTCGATTCTTATTCCTTACTTCGTTCATCCAACATTATTGCTTGATTCTTATTCCTAACTTCGTTCATCCAACATTACCGCTTGGTTCTTATTCCTAACGTCGTTCGTCTAAAATTATCGCTTGATTCTTATTCCTAACTTTGTTCATCCAATATTACCGCTCGATTCTTATTCCTAACTTCGTTCATCTAACATTACCGCTCGATTTTTACTCCTAACTTCGTTCATCCAATATTACCGCTCGATTCTTATTCCCAACTTCGTTCATCTAACATTAACGCTTGATTCTTATTCCTAACTTTGTTCATCTAACATTAACGCTTGATTCTTATTCCCAACTTCGTTCATCTAACATTAACGCTTGATTCTTATTCCTAACTTCGTTCATCTAACATTAACGATTGATTCTTATTCCTAACTTTGTTCATCTAACATTACCGCTTGATTCTTATTCCTAACGCCGTTCATCTAACATTTCCGCTTGATTCTTATTCCTAACTTCGTTCATCTAACATTACCTTTTGATTCTTATTCCTAACTTTGTTCATCTAACATTACCGCTCGATTCTTATTCCTAACTTCGTTCATCCAACATTTCCGCTTGATTCTTATACCTAACTTTGTTGATCTAACATTACCGCTCGATTCTTATTTCTAACTTCGTTCATCTAACATTACCGCTTGATTCTTATTCCTTACGCCGTTCATCTAACATTTCCGCTTGATTCTTATTCCTAACTTCGTTCATCTAACATTACCGCTTGATTCTTATTCCTAACTTTGTTCATCTAACATTACCGCTCGATTCTTATTCCTTACTTCGTTCATCCAACATTTCCGCTTGATTCTTATACCTAACTTTGTTCATCTAACATAACCGCTCGATTCTTTTTCCTAACTTCGTTCATTTAACATTACCGCTCGATTCTTATTTCTAACTTCGTTCATCTAACATTACCGCTCGATTCTTATTCCTAACTTCGTTCACTATCATTATCGCTTGATTCTTATTCCTAACTTTGTTCATCCAACATAACCGCTTGATTCTTATTCCTAACGTCGTTCATCTAACATTACCGCTCGATTCTTACTCCTAACTTCGTTCATCCAATATAACCGCTCGATTCTTATTCCTAACTTCGTTCATCTTCATTATCGCTTGATTCTTATTCCTAACTTTGTTCATCCAACATTACTGCTTGATTCTTATTCCTAACGTCGTTCATCTAACATTACCGCTCGATTCTTATTCCTAACTTTGTTCATCTAACATTTCCGCTTGATTCTTATTCCTAACTTTATTCATTTAACATTACCGCTTGATTCTTATTTCTAACTTCGTTCATCTAAGAATACCGCTTGATTCTTATTCCTAACTTTTTTCATCTAAGATTACCGCTCGATTCTTATTCCTAACTTCGTCCATCTAACATTACCGCTCGATTCTTATTCCTAACTTCGTTCATCTAACAGTACCGCTTGATTCTTATTCCTAACTTAATTCATCTAACATTTCCGCTCGATTCTTATTCCTAACTTCATCCATCTAACATTACCGCTCGATTCTTATTTCTAACTTTGTTCATCTACTATTACCGCTTGATTCTTATCCCTAACTTTGTTCATCTAACATTAACGCTTGATTCTTATTCCTAACTTCGTTCATCTAACATTACCGCTTGATTCTTATTCTTAACTTTGTTCATCTAACATTAACGCTTGATTCTTATTCCTAACGCCGTTCATCTAACATTACCGCTTGATTCTTATTCCCAACTTCGTTCATCTAACATTAACGCTTGATTCTTATTCCTAACTTCGTTCATCTAACATTACCGCTTGATTCTTATTCCTAACTTTGTTCATCTTACATTACCGCTTGATTCTTATTCCTAACGCCGTTCATCTAACATTTCCTTTTGATTCTTATTCCTAACTTTGTTCATCTAACATTACCGCTCGATTCTTATTCCTAACTTCGTTCATCCAACATTTCCGCTTGATTCTTATACCTAACTTTGTTGATCTAACATTACCGCTCGATTCTTATTTCTAACTTCGTTCATCTAACATTACCGCTTGATTCTTATTCCTAACGCCGTTCATCTAACATTTCCGCTTGATTCTTATTCCTAACTTCGTTCATCTAACATTACCGCTTGATTCTTATTCCTAACTTTGTTCTTCTAACATTACCGCTCGATTCTTATTCCTAACTTCGTTCATCCAACATTTCCGCTTGATTCTTATACCTAACTTTGTTCATCTAACATTACCGCTCGATTCTTTTTCCTAACTTCGTTCATTTAACATTACCGCTCGATTCTTATTTCTAACTTCGTTTATCTAACATTACCGCTCGATTCTTATTCCTAACTTCGTTCACTATCATTATCGCTTGATTCTTATTCCTAACTTTGTTCATCCAACATAACCGCTTGATTCTTATTCCTAACGTCGTTCATCTAACATTACCGCTCGATTCTTACTCCTAACTTCGTTCATCCAATATAACCGCTTGATTCTTATTCCTAACTTCGTTCATCTATCATTATCGCTTGATTCTTATTCCTTACTTTGTTCATCCAACATTACTGCTTGATTCTTATTCCTAACGTCGTTCATCTAACATTACCGCTCGATTCTTATTCCTAACTTTGTTCATCTAACATTTCCGCTTGATTCTTATTCCTAACTTTATTCATCTAACATTACCGCTTGATTCTTATTTCTAACTTCGTTCATCTAAGATTACCGCTTGATTCTTATTCCTAACTTTATTCATCTAAGATTACCGCTCGATTCTTATTCCTAACTTCGTCCATCTAACATTACCGCTCGATTCTTATTTCTAACTTCGTTCATCTAAGATTACCGCTTGATTCTTATTCTAACTTCGTTCATCTAACATTACCGCTTGATTCTTATTCCTAACTTTATTCATCTAAGATTACCGCTCGATTCTTATTCCTAACTTCATCCATCTAACATTACCGCTCGATTCTTATTTCTAACTTTGTTCATCTACTATTACCGCTTGATTCTTATTCCTAACTTTGTTCATCTAACATTACCGCTTGATTCTTATTCCTAGTGTTGTTATTTTAAGTGTGAGGTATATTCCTAGCTTTCTTCCTCTAACAGTAACTCGTAAGCTTTATTCCCAGCTTTGTTCGCTTGTCATTACAGCGTGCCGCGCGAGTCATATTCCTAGCTGTATTTAACTAACATTTTTGGTTGAGCCTTACCCCCAACTTTGTTCAGTTTACATTGCCGCATAAGTCATATTTCTAGCTTCATTTACCTAACATTTCTTACCCCTAACTTTGTTCAATTGACTTTGCCGCATAAGTCATATTCCTAGCTTTTTTTCAACTAAAATAGATCGCGGTTGAGCATACTCCTAACTTAGTTTACTTAGGGGTACCGGTTGAGTCTATTCCTAGGTTAGTTCATCTGAAATAACCGTATGTGCCTTATATCTAGCTTAGTACATCTGACGTTACAGTCCTAGCTTAGTTTATCAGACAATACCGTTTGAGTTTATTCCAAGCTTATTGAGTCTTATTTCTTGCTTATATTAAAAAGAAGTTGTGGTATGATTGCCAATGAGACAACTCTTCACAAGAGACCATATGACACAGAAATTAACAACTATAGGTCACAGTATGGCCTTCAACAATGTGCAAAGCCCATACCGCATAGTCAGCTATAAAAGGCCCCGAAATGACAAATGTAAAACGATTCAAACGAGAAAACTACCGGCCTAATTAATGTACAAAAAAAGGAACGAAAAACAAATATGTAACACAGCAACAAACGACAACCACTGAATGACAGGCTCCTGACTTGGGACAGGCACATACATACAGAATGTTGCGGGGTTAAACATGTTAGCGGGATCCCAACCCTCCCCCTAACCTGGGACAGTGGTTTAACAGTACAACATAAGAACGAACTTAAAAAATCAGTTGAAAAAGGCTTCACTCATCAGATGGATACAAATAGAAATACATCTTACAAAAACACAGAGTGGACGTGGCCGGGTACTTGTACATCCCAACAACAAAAAGACACTAAGTACAGATCTGAGAGTACTCGCAGTTACTAACAGCTAGTTCAAAGCCAATAACAACTAATAAAAAAAATCATGCATCTAAGACTTATTTATCAAGTCCATTTGACAATTCCGCTTGAGTTTTATTCCTATCTTAGTTCATCCGACATTACCGGTTACTATGAATGACACTTGCGGCTGAATTTTTATGTAAAAATAGAAATGAAGGCTAAGGGAAGTAACTCGAAATTACTTAAATTTAGCGTTTTGCTAAAAAAAAACCCACCAAAACACCAAAGAATTACTTTAAAACGATTTTTTTTTAAATTTTTTTGGGAATACATCAAATTTAGATTTATGTTAAATGTTAAAGTAAGTCAAAATTCTACCAAGACCTTTATTGAATGTAGAATTTTCGACTGCGAAAAGTACTCTAGTTTAAAGATAATATTATTTCCGTTTGGTCATAACTTTGAAATATTCCCATTCATAAAGAAAGCTATTTAAATATTCCAATACTAGGCGATAATTCTCAAATTCGATGGTTAGTTGATATATCTATTGTTTGATGGGTAACAAATGCTAAACAGCTAGTAATGTGTTCTTATGTTGTACTGTTACACCACTGTCTCAGGTTAGGGGGAGGGTTGAGCGCTCACAAACATGTTTAACCCCACCACATTCTTTATGTACCTATCCCAAGTCAGGAGCCTGTAGTTCAGTGGTTGTCGTTGGTTCATGTCTGTCATATTTTTTTTTCGTAAATTGTTTTGTGATAAAGTAGGCCGTTAGTTTTCTCAATTGAATTATTTCATATTTTTCATGTCGGGGCCTTTTATAGTCGACCATACGGTATGGGTTTTTCTCATTGTTGAAGGCCGTACGGTTGCCTATAATTGCTAACATCCACTTCATTTGAACTTTGGTGGATAGTTGTCTCATTGGCAATCATACCACATCTCCTTATTTTTATAAAGTCAGCAAGTAAATAGTATAATACATAAATATAGAGGTGTATCATTATTAATACCATTAAACATTCAAACTCGCAAACTTTCGAAAATATTGACTATTAAAAGCTGTTGATGTGGTAGATTATTTGTAAGCCTCAACCCTCTCTCAGGATAAAAAAAAACGCTCTGTGTTATCGTAAAAAAATGTTACAACTCGGAGATTGGTGTTAAAGTAGCAATGTTCCTATAAAGTAAAAGCGTCAAATAAAAAAGAGAAGAGATACAAAAGAGGCAATTAAACATTACCAGTCGACGAGAAGAAAGACAACATTCGTGTGTTTAGACTATGTTTAGTTGTAAATTAGGGCGACCGTAGTTTACCGATGTTTAAGTTTCGTTAATCGATTACGAAGGGACAAATCAAGGTAAAAAACAAAAACTGGTAGCTCGTATGAACTCCAAAAAGAGCGAGACCGGGTGCGTTGACAGGGTAAGCGTCACTTGCTATTCATGAATCAGCCGTCACGCGTCACTTGCTATTCATGAATCAGCCGCCACGCGTCACTTGCTATTCATGAATCAGCCACCAAGCGTCACTTTCTATTCATGAATCAGCCGCCAAGCGTCACTTGTTATTCATGAATCAGCCGCCACGCGTCACTTGCTATTCATGAATCAGCCACCAAGTGTCACTTTCTATTCATGAATCATCCGCCAAGCGTCACTTGCTATTCATGAATCCGCCGCCACGCGTCACTTGCTATTCATGAATTAGCCGCCAAGCGTCACTTTCTATTCATGAATAAGCCGCCAAGCGTCACTTGCTTTCATGAATCAGCCGCCACGCGTCACTTGCTATTCATGAATCAGCCGCCAAGCGTCACTTTCTATTCATGAATCAGCCGCCAAGCGTCACTTGCTATTCATGAATCAGCCGCCAAGCGTCACTTGCTATTCATGAATCAACCGCTACACCAATCTCCGCGCAGAGTTCATATCCGTTCCATACATGCTCCGCAATACTGCACTTAATATTGAGTGTAATGTTACGAAGTATTGAACGGAACGGATATGATCTCTGTGCCGGAGATTTCCGCCACGCTTCACTTGCTATTCATGAATCAGCCGCCAAGCGTCACTTGCTATTTACGAATCAGCCGCCAAGCGTCACTTGCTATTCATGAATCAGCCACCACGCGAATTCAAATTCGGTCAAAATGCCATAATCGGGAATCGGAAACAATCGGTAAAATTACATATAAAACGACTTTACTGGTAACTAACGATTTAAAATTGCGAAAACATGTCGCTAGTCAGTTGATCAACCTACACATCGTATCGTTCAAACAATACGGTGACCGTAAAAATTATGTAGTGTCGATTTCATTCGTTCTTCCTCGTAACTCTTTTCGGTCAGTTTTTAAGCAAGGGATACACCCCTGTGAACATGCATGAACGTAACGTATTAACTGGCATATGTAAACGCCACACGACGGGGCAGAAGGTATGTTATTGCTGAGAAATGGGAAGTTGACAATTGGAAAGATGTAAGCGATTTCTAATTTCCTTACACGTTTTTTAAAAACGGTAAAAAAGGATAAACAGCAGCATCTAAAATCTAAAAGTCTTACATGTCGTACGATAAGTGTTCAAATTTGATAAATCATATGACACACATAAAAACAGATTACTTCTTTAAACTCCTAATGTTTTTATGTTTTGTTTAATTTCCCCAATATCTATTTTTAATTTCTTTTTATCAGGATATGCAGCCGGCAATGCTAAATACGAAAAAGGAGGTGGAGCTAATTTCTTGTGCCTTCCGAAAGACCCCGAATGGCGTAGTTATTCCGACAGGAAAGCAACTTATATAGGGCGTATATTTGGTGTTGAATATCAGATAAAAGACAACTCAGTCTATTCAACCTCGTTCCATGATAAAGAAATGCCATGCTCAGTATGTCTTATAACAGAAAAATCGACTTCCTTAATGGTACCTGGAAAAGTAACATGTCCCAACGGATGGACCAAAGAGTATACTGGATATTTGATGTCCCAGGCCATTGCGGGTAATCGTCAACCGTCGGAATATATTTGCGTTGATGAGAATTTAGATGCCGTGGACGGCAATAAAGCTGATAACGACCAGGGAAATGTATATGTGGTTGAAGGTGTATGCGGAAGTTTGAAGTGCCCACCTTATGTTGGTGGCAGAGAGCTTACCTGCGTCGTCTGCTCAAAGTGAATAAGCTGATCTCACGCATCGTGTCGGTAGTCTATCGTATAACACATATTTAGAGCACATTAGAACTATTAATAAACAGATATAATTTAATTTTGGATGTAACACGTCTTGCTGATTGGCTGAAAGTGTTTTGTCTATCAGCTCTTAGACATAATTTTGTCATGTGACCGTGACGTCACCAACGTTTTTTTTCAAAATTTACTCCTTAAAAATGGAATTTATAATTAAATCATAAGGAATGACTGTACTATTTTTTCTGTCTATTCGAAATAACCTAAAACATGTGGTAAACACTTTTAAATAACCCGCGACGCGCGTTATTCAGCTTGCACCACATTTTGTATGTTATTTCTTCATAGACAGAAAAATATTACAGTCATTCCTTAAATAAATCTATTTTAACATGATTTGACCAATTAGTAATAATGTATTTTGTTAGTACTTTGTTCTCGGTTTTTGATTCAGTTTATGTTATTCTATTGCTTGATATAAATGAAGGAAATATGCTGTTGTATCCATCAAGCTTTTTGTATGTTTAACTAATTACATGTATAAGATATCTAATATAGCTTTTTTTAACAAATTTTGAGTTAAATTAAAAAAAAAAACGAACTAATAGACAATTCCTACCTAGGTAGAGCTATGTATTGTTTTTAAAATACAGAATACTTCATCTTGGTTTCGGATGTCCCTGAATGCAATATTTTACAAAAAAAAGCAACATTGTGTTTAGGAACAATGTTTAGTGCTGAATACATTCAACTTGTCCGTCTGTCCATCCGTTCGTCTTGTCGCGCAGCAAATATTTCACACTTTACTAAGGTACAAGTTAACACATTTGGCCAGCAGCTTGACAATAGTGCGTTGAAGTGAATGATTATTTTTCGGTCTGTCGCATTGCTACTAATTATTTGCCAGTACTTTGAATTTTTCAATATGTTGGATGAACATTATTTGTTTTGGTCACACATATCACAAGTTCTTCTACTGGACAACTGCTTCTTGTTTTTCGATACTTTAAATACGATTGAGGGTAAGCTCAGTAGGACAAAGCGTGCATTTTTATTCCACTTTCTGGAACCAGATCTTGTTTGACCGTTTTCTCTCGCAGTCAAGGATGGAAACTTTTATGTCTGGCACTGAACTGGATCAGTATAGCTGGGCATGCATTCATCATTTTTCATTCTAACAAGAATGGTATAATTTGAGGAGCCCAAAGGTGCCAAAAGAGGGGTGGGATAAATTTTGTTTGACATTTGTTAGCTTCCTGCAAAACCTAGAAAATGCAGAAGCTTCATGTGTGTTATCATATAAGAGACCCATTCTGCTTATGCATCAAGCTATTTTCATTCCAACAAGAGACCCACAGTGACTTTTAAAGTTAGAGAGGAACAAAGGAGGAACATTTCAACTTTTGTTTTATATCGCCAAAACTATATGCAATATAAACTTATATTGAAATGATATATTATGATTATATTCTGTTTTATTACATAAATTTTCTTCTTAAGCCAGATGTCAACTTGCGCAGTTGGAGGGGCTCTAAAGGGAAATTTAAATTTTCTAGTTTTTATAACTCGATAACATGGTAAGTTGTTAACTTCAATGTCATTTGGTCTCTGGTGGAGAGTTGTCTCATTGGCAATCATACCACATCTTCTTATTTTTATAAGGTTCCACAAAGACTGACGAATAAACCAATCTTGATGGAACCTTACCATAATCTTAACCACCATGTGAAGTTGTGCACCTGACTTTGGAATTTTAAAGATGGCCACGGATACCATGGAAACTAAATTCAATTAGTAGCTAGATTTCTTGTTTAGTTGATGATACAAGCACCAAAAGTCTGGGTAGTTTACAGTTGGTCTTTCTTGAACGAAATAACTCGTTGGTCACTTTAATTTTTGCAGCTTTTTTCAAAATGGCCACCACATGTTAAAAATGGAGTCATTTTGAGCATGTAAAATTAGTAAAAATGAAAAGGATCGAGAGATCTATCCTTATCATAGTTTTGATTTCACTTTAGCTTGTGCAAGACCTCTCACTGTTTTAACAAGTAAGTATTGGTCATTTTAAGCATTAATTTTGTGCATGCGCTGTTTCTGTAATGGAACAACTGGCGGTTTACCCTTGAATTAAGCGAACCTGTTTTTGATAATGCAAGACGATATTTCTAATTTTAATGTTTGAAGAAAAACAGTGTCTACTTTGGCATGACACTAATAATCTAGAAAATAGTTTGCAGTCATCCGAACTACCGAGTTTTGGTTTTGCAGCTTTGCAGCTTTGCATGGGATTGAGTTTTGTCTTACGGCTGAGGAGAGCATACTTCTTCTTCAAAGAAACCTAATTTCACTTTATTATTGAAACCAGCCATGGAATTCCGGTATTGAAATATCCGTATATCCGCTAATTGTGATATATAATATGATACTTCAGAATAACTGACATGTTTGTGTTAAAAGTATACAAGTCAGTTGATACGGAAGGGTTAAGCACTCACAAAATTGCTAAACACTGCCACGTTGTTTATGAGCCTGTTCCAAGTTTAAGCGACAGTAGTTTGCCAAAATTAAATTCTGAAAAATAGATTAAGAAAATACAAATCAAGGGAATCGTATGAACTTCAAATGGGTTCGTCGACAGTAGTTTTTATAGATTTATATTTTTATTCAACATTGTGTCATCCAGGGACCTTTTATAGCTAAATGGTATGGTTGAGCTCAATTTTGATGGGATACGATGACCTGCTATTGTTCGATCATTTCTATACTGGCCTTTTATGGATAGTTGGTCTCATTGGAAATCATACCACATCTCCTTGTTTTGATTAAGTCACCACATATTAATTATTCATTGAATGAACATGTATAGTTCGATGTGAATTTATATACTAACTGGAATATTGCTAAAGTGTTTCATTCCCCTCGTATCAAATATGTCTCATACGAATAATTGAAAGAGATTCCAACATAATCATAACGTCCTGGTTAATTAAATCGGTGCTTCTATGATACAAGATCATAACATTATATAATAAAAGGGCATGCAATGTTATTGATTCACTCACTTTCATTATAATTAAGAGTATTTTTTACTGAAGATGAAAATATTACAATGTGCAAACAAAATAGTTAGCTTTTGCATTTAAAATTATCGAATATGATCCTTTATCTGTTTTAACCTATACTTAGTATTTACCGTATCCATACAGCAAGTATGTATTTTGTTGTTTTACAATTATAATTGATTATGTCTGCATACAAAGTATGCCAATACTTTAAGCTCAACAAGATTGTTTTCTGAAACATGCTAGATATGTTTAAGAATTTAAGAATTTTATTTTACTTTTAATTTTGGATTTGTTACAGAATACGTTTAATGCATTCTTTTGGTAAGTGTGTTAATTAATGGAAATGTTTAAAAAATATTTTAGTGAAATTGTATCATACCTTTACCACAATATAGGGTAAGACCGTATAGGGATGAGTTCTGCTTAGAGACACATGACAATGAAAATATAAGAAACAATACGGCGAGACTATAATTACCGCGTACAATACGTCTAGGAACCTGAGTTGCAAAGGCATTTGTCTCTGTAAAAATGTATACCTATATTTTAAGGTATAAAGGTATATTTTTTTAAGGGGACAAGATTTTGCTCAGTTGGTAGATTGATTGATTGATTGTTGGTTGCTTAACGTCCAGTGGCAAATATTTCATGCATGTGCAGGACGAGAACAAGTTAACAATGCATACAATAGGTAGGTCCTGTAATAGAGGCCATCCGGGATGAAGGTCGTAGAAATTTAGACTGCCACTTGAAAATGAGGGTATATTAAATAAAGACAGAAATTTAGCCTTGCAACAGGCAACCTACGGACCCCTCAAATAATTGTTACAAGGGTTCTTAACGTACAGAGAGCGGGGTACTCTCTTTACACGAGGCATCGGATTTAACGTCCCAATTCTGACCGGACGTGGCTGCGTACTTGTACATCCCGCACAGCCAAACAGACTTTGGCAAGGGTTTTTACTGCCGGTCGGAAGAAGAAGGCCTGTAGTGACCATATTTCTATTCCCCAGTCTCCCTTGGGGGTCAGTTGGTAGAGATATGTATCTCGTGGTTCAGTTATATAATTTGTATATTGTCACGATATAACTGTTATTGGCCAAGTTCGATCACGAACTTTAGTTTGGGTTTAGTAGCGTTCCTGCGCATGTTTAGTTGACAGATATGGTACCAGTCTTGTCTAGTTAATATGGAGGGTTTTATTCAAAAATGTGCATGTTTGGAAAATTTGCCATTTCAGAATATAATGCATTCTGGGTAATATTTTTAAAGCGTACACCAAAACGGTGTGGTTTAAAACATTCTAAACAACGTAATAATATTTTCATTTTGGTGTACGAACAGCGAGATTACCCATAATTCTTTAGGTTTTGATAAGACGAATTGTAACATACTAAGGATTATGCGTGTTTACTCCTAAAATTTGTGACTTGAAATAGCTTTTGATTTTGTATGTACATGACTTTTTCAATAATTTTTTTATCAATATGCAACAAAGATTAACATTTCCTAAATTTCCGTTTAACAAGTTTCTAAAGAAATGATCTCAAAAAGTAATCATAATGAAACATCTTGTATTTACATTTAAAATAACACAGCTTGACAAATACTTTCGTTAAAACGTCTGATTGTTGTTTAGAAATGACTTTTAATTTTCACTATTGATTTTGCCGACTTTTTCATAACAAGAGTTACTTTTCGATTGTTCTTGCGTCATTGGTTCGCCCACTGATATTTTATTAGATATCTTATCAACTTTGAATTACATGAATATCTTATCAAGTTTATGAGATATCATTTAGAATAGAAGACATCTTATGAAGTGCATGAGGTATCTTGAATGTTGAATAAATATGCGTGCCATATGAATGAATCTAACGTCACCATTTAGAACGGGTTTCCTTTTTATAAATCTGACACAGTCGATCGGATGCACCTCAGCGTTGTTCTTAAGATTATTGCTGGACGATACATTTGCAAATGGCTCAGAAATTGAGCTCAAGGTCATACAAACATACAAACATACAAACAGAAACAACAACAACTGACAAATGGTCATATATCATCAATAGATATTTACACCTGTTAGCATTCATTTGCTCAGCATTTGCCCAGCATTATCATTTAGATTTAAGTTCCATATCTAATATTGAATAAACCTAAGCATAGCCACTGAACTGGACATTGACAAGTGTCAAACTGTCATGTGTACCGTAGAGCTACACACAAAAATGATTGCCCAAATATACAATGTTTTTATGGAACCACCAAAACACAAAATCTTAACATCGTTTCTAGACTGAAATCGAGGTGAATGTCATGCAACACCTGTTTGACTGTCATACACCTTAATAACCAATCTTTATAACAAATATCTTCTCCCTGTCATTTAAAGTAAATGAGGCTCACAAGTAATCACGTACTCAATGCAATCCTACATTTGTCCCATTGATATATGCTCTCCCAATAACCAAATATACCAAATATTGTCCTCTTATAGTTTCCAAAGAAGCTAGCATCATCTTTCACGTTCCGCTATATTGGTGATGTCATCTTACTTAATAAGCTTTAAAGTTTGGTGACTATGTTGAACACATCTGAG